TCTTGTGAAATTATTTTATTGATCACAGATATCAAATATACATTTATAAATTGGTGTAATTTTATACCATAACTATAGTTTGATTTTTAATTAAGAATTTATGCGTTATATGCTATTAGTAACTGCATATGATACTGAATTCATTTTTAATTTGCAGTTCGATAAAAATAAATATAAACAGCTTAAGTTAACCAGTTTTAAATATGGCTATTTTGCATAGATTAACATTGAAATTTACTGTAATTTTTAGCTTTTGGGTAACATACTATGTGTTTTCTGTAAAGCATGTATTAGTCATTTTGATTTACATTTTACGGTTCTACGAGTTCTTTAATGTAGAAAAGTTATTGTTGGTTTATAATAACTTGGGATAACATTTTTAATTTGGCTAATTTTGAGCAATCTAACATTTTGAATATTTATGGTATGTGGATGTGTAACTACAACTGACTTTACGGTTTATATTATATAAAAATATTATATCAACAATCCTAATTTAGACATAATATAATGTCTTTCTCTTCTATGTGCATTTGAAATTCTAAATATATTAAATATGCACTACCGGCATTTGTGTTTAAATTTTAAAAAATTATAATAAATATGTTGTTTTAGATATTACTCTTACTGAAGTTACTATTCTCAGTTTAATAATATAAAACGTTTTATAAATATATGCAACTCATATTCACCATTTAGAGAACAAAATATGCATTCTGAAATACTAGCAGATGCCTGTTGAAACAATTCAATGGCAAATTTACAAAGAATAGTAATGAATAAATGTCTTGGATCATAGCGTATATAGTGGGCCATCTACAACCGTATTTTGTAATTCCATGTGTTATTTCAATAAGGAAAATTGCATTTCGTTTGTTTTTAAACAAAGGAGACTGACTACAATGCATTGTTAGCAAAAATTTTAGTTTTCGATGCAATGGGTGCATCAAGCACAACAGAGTGCTCAGGTTCGCTAAGTATCTGCAGGGACATTTTCCGCATCCTTTAATTGAGTGCAAGAAGTGAGTGTTTTTTGACAGTTTTCATTTTTATAAGATATGTCAAAGGGGAGATATTCTATTCTAATCAATTTATTCGACATGGTACAATTAAATAATGTTGTATATAAGACATAACAACAACAAATATTTCCCAAACACATTCCTTTCTTTATGTGTCTTATTTTTCTTTCACGCTTCTAGCTTTGAAATATTTTTTTCAATCAGTCGACGGGGGAAGGCCCGTTGTTTTTTCGTGAATAAGTATTTTTTCTCAGGTTAACGGCTCAGTACATATGTAGACTGATGGATTGATGTTGATGTCTATTTAAAAAATTTTGATGTTGCAAAATATGAATAATTTTTCTGTAATGTACTTTCGAAGAGAATCATTTTGAGATGTTTTTTTTTCTACGATTAACCGTTCAAGAGTTACAGAGCGTGACAGACAAGCAGACATTTGGCTATTATGAGTATAGAGAGAGATGCACACAACCTTTTGTCTATAATTTTTTCACAACAAGCTGTAAAATACGATACAAATGCATATAATTATCAAAGTGAATAAGTTGTTGATATAGTTGGAAGTAATCTTCTGCAACCAGTTATTATAGTTGGGTATCTTATCTCTCAAAATAGTTCCTACGTAGTTCTAAAAACTGCTTAACATTTAGGGACTGTCGACGCTAATTGAATTCGTCTGTTTTGACCTGCGTTTTCCAGACGAAAACCAGTACAAGCTAAAAGATAAACGATCTCATTCAGACTTTCTCCTCTTGTCGCCATCCTGTCTCCCCCCCCCCTAATTCCTTTCCACCACTTTCACACGCACCAACACACTTCACCACGGCTCTAGTCATTGTATGAAACCAGAGAATGTCCCCTCGCTCTCTCAAACATAGAATCTGCAATTCTGAGATCATTTTAGCGGATTAGTCATTTTCTTTTTCGTGGATTTCCTATGGGAAATCATAAGTAACTTACATTGCAGTATAATACTTAACTACAGTGTAGTAGCGTTAACGCTGTCTTGCCGTTGCCATTACCAGAACTGTTGTCATGAAAACTCGATCCGTTGAATTTAATTAGTATCATTCTATGGTGAGCTGTTAAACCTAACAGCTCTTTTGTTCACACAGTTGGTTTTAGTTGTCGCAGAAGAAAGTATGAAACTATCCAGACATAATAATAATTATTATTAGCTGATAAATATGATTTTTGAATAATTTGTATATATATATGTATACATATTTAAAATAATTAGATTCTGTTTATGACCTAACTACACTCATATAACCAGTTAGTTCAAGAGTTTGGCACCAACTTATGCCTTCACCAAGAGCAATGATGATGAAGAACACATCAATTGATGCTTACAAAAGAAATCTGTGGTAAGAAGGTTCCTTCTGTTTATCGTTCTGCAAGAACAACAGTCAAGAGATTTTTCACAATTAAATTAATTCTCGAACATAATGATTATATTACCCTGGCAATGAACATTTTAGGAAGCACTATGTCGAATGCAACTTTAGAACTTGTTTATTTCAGATAAAACACCCTTTAGTTTGCTTGTTGTTTAGCGCAAAGCTAATGAATGGGCTGGGCTATCTGCTCTGTGCCCACCTTTGTTTTCGAAACCCGAGTTTTAGCGTTATAAGCCTTCAAACTTATCGCTGGGCCACTGTGGTGCCGTATAAAACAGAATAAAGAAGTTATAAAAATGAACACAGTATGTAGTTAAACGTGGAGTTTACTTAAACGTTTGTGCCATGGTTAATTCTATAGATAAAAAGTATAATTAACTTGAAGTAATAAATCAAGTTTATAAGACACGAGATCAAATGTACAAACAGTAAGATTTAAGATCGAAATTAGAATAAAAAGGAGACTTTGATAAACTGGACAAGACTGAAAAAATCTTTCCAAATTTAATATCTGACTGAGAAATAAAACTCATAAAACCTAGTTTGTATTTTTAACATTGTGTCAATCTGATTTCTTAACCTAGTAAACGAATAATAACTAAAATATAAGAGTAGACCATAAATGTCGATGTTTCTTGAAAAATATTTCAATAATTTTCCAGTTTTCTCTTTATAATAAAGGAAACATTTGTTCATAAACATGAGATCAAAACATGCAGGTTATGTGGTTACAATATTAAGGAATATTTGTCGTTCAAAGTTTATCATTAAACGACCCATGTTTGTGTCTGTGGTGGAGAAGTGAATACCTCCTCGTAGGAGTGTCAGGATTTGACGGGCAGAAAACAAAGCTAGAGAGAGAGATAACAACTCATGAGACATAGTCCTGCTAGCCGGAAGTTTGTGGGATTTATTATAGGATTTTATTCACTTTATACAACGTAGCTGTTTCTCTTCAGCATAGGTTCTTTAAATTAAAGTATTGTAAGATTTTTTTTTTACTGAAGACTACCACAATAAATAGCTGTAAAATGTAATTCAGTTGGCCCATATTTATTGTAACAAAAAAAGATAATCGTTTCCTGGTAGGAATGGGTGTTTACTAAACATTGTAGCAACTTACTACATGAAAGCCAAGCTTTAATTACAAAGTAATATTCTTCTCATACCACTACCGCTTTTGAATTACTCCGGTTTCAGCGAAGCTTAGACGGAAAAAGTACAAATCATAACACTATGGCTTTACTGTTAGATGAGCCTCTTAATGTGCTGCTAACCTTTACAAATGCGAGTATGTTTTTCTTCGTTTTCAGTGCCTGAGATACTTTTCGTTCAAAACGTCTATCAGACCTAGACCAATAAAAAAAACTATGATTTGCTGCAAACCTAAATATATGTATATATATATATATATGCAGTATTTTAGTTAAACAAGAC